GTGCCCCGTCCCAGCTTCTTGTGCACCCCCAGCCTCTTCTTGCTGGCAGGACATGAGAAGCTGAAAAGTCCTTGACTTAGTGTAAGCACTGCTTAGCAACAACTAAAACATGTGTGTTCCCAACATTATTCTCATACTAAAGCCAAACTACAGCACTACACCAGCTACTAGGAAGAAAACTAATGCTGTCCCAGACGAAACCAGGACATACAGTCACAGCGTGCGTTCTGATACACGAAGTAAAACATCACTGTTGACTGTCTGATTCAAGCGTGGCTGATACCAGTCCTTTACCCATGTCTATTCAATGCAAATCTTTTCTGATTGACTTGCAGCTCTCCTCTCCTGTTTCTCTCTCATAGATATCATAATCTTTTCCTTGCATCCTCTTTCCTTTTATATGTCTTAGATGCGGAAGGTTTCTTTTACCTGTGTATTGAAGTATTCAACTTTAATATCTTAGCTGTATTAGGAAGGACTGTTTGTACCAGTCTCTTCCACTGTCCAGTTGTTCTTTCTGGTTTCTGCTGATGAAAATAAATCAATAAATCTTTGAATCTGTCTGCAAGGTTTTCTTCATGTAACTGCTGCTTACAGAATTATTTTAGATCTCCAATCTTTTAATCTAATTCCACTATATTTTCTGTTACGATTGCCATTGCTAGTCTAGAGTTAGACTTTGAGTATTTCCTACCTGTTACCAGTTCAATTACTGACTCAAGCTAGGCAAGAAAGTTGCTCAAGCATTCCTTCTTTCATTTTTGGGTCTTTTGGTCTTTAGTTGTGGTCACTGTTTTTGTCTCAAATAATTTCCTATTGTTTGTAACCCATCAATTACTTTGCTGCCTTTGATACTTCTGCTGGACTTAAAAGTAAATTGTCTGTTTAATATGAAATAGTAATAAAGGTGGTGGTCTGATGTTTCTTTTTTTTTGGCGGGGGGGAAGGTTGTTTGGGTTTTGGTTGGCTGGGTTTTTTTCTTTGTTTTTTTTTTTTTTTTAAATTTATTAGAAGTAGTAGTTCTTGACCAGGCTGTCTGTGTATATCTTCCCCATTTCTCTTTTGCACCTCTGCTTTTCACAAAATTATTGCAGCAGTCACTTAAGTCTTGTGCGAACTGCAAACATGGGAAGGAGCATGGAGCTGACTCCTCACTGGAAAGTGTTACAGTTGAGAAAGTGGTTAACTGGGGAAGCTTTAGTTCCTGGAGCAACTGGAAGCTTTTGGAGGCTGTATAAATTGCATAGCAAAAGATTAGAATTTTAAAAATCCAGGGACAGATCCCCTCTAGGGAAATTTCCTTGTCTCTAAACTGGGGACACAGGGATTTGACAGATGGACCATCTGGTGGATAAGGAATTGGTTGGACAGTTGCCCTCAAAGAGTTGCAGTCAACAGCTCGATGTCCAAGTGAAGACCAGTGACAAGTGGCGTTCCTCGGGGGTTGGTACTGGGACCGGCACTGTTCAGTATCTTTGGCAACATGGACAGTGGGATCGAGTGCACCCTCAGAAAATTTGCCAACGTCACCAAGCTGTGTGGTGTGGTCGACACGCTGGAGGGAAGGGATGCCATCCTGAGGGACCTGGACAGGCTGGAGAGGTAGGCCCATGCAAACTGCGTGAAGGTTAACAAGGCCAAGTGCAAGGTCCTGCATGTGGGTCAGGGCAATCCCAAGCACAAATACAGGCTGGTTGGAGAATGGATTGAAAGCAGCCCTGAGGAGAAGGACTTTGATGAGAAGTTCAACATGATCTGGCAGTGTGCACTTGCAGCCCAGAAAGCCAACCGTGTCCTGGGCTGCATCAAAAGAGGTGTGACCAGCAGGTCGAGGGAGGTGATCCTGCCCTTCTACCATGCTCTCATGAGACCCCCCCCCTGCAGTACTGCATCCAGCTCTGGGGTCTCCAATGTAAGACAGACATGGAGCTGTTGGAGTGAGTCCAGAGGAGGCCACAAAGCTGATCAGAGGGCCGGAGCACCCCTACTGTGAGGACAGGCTGAGAGAGTTGGGGCTGTTCAGCCTGAAGAAAAGGCTCCAGGGAGACCTTATAGCAGCCTTCCTGTACCTAACAGGGCCTTCAGGAAAGCTGAAGAGGTGACTGTTTACAAGGGCATGGAGTGATAGGGGTAATGACTTGAAACTGAAGGAGGGTAGATTTAGATTGGATATGAGGAAGAAATTCTACTACTGTGAGGGTGGTGAGGCACTGGCACAGGTTCCCCAGAGAAGTTGTGGATGGCCCTGGATCCCTGGCAGTGTTCAAGGCCAGGTTGGATGGGGCTTTGGGCACCCTGGTCTCTAGTGGAGGGTGTCCCTGCCCATGGCAGGGGGGTTGGAACTAGATGATCTTTGAGGTCCCTTCCAACCCAAACCATTCTATGGTTCTACGAAGTTGTTTTGGAGGTCACAAACTTTATAGCTGTAGCCAAGTTTAATTCCTTATAGTTTATCAGACTTACAAGTAACTGTCCAAAACCAACTAGAAGACTGAGAATGACAAAGTCTTTGAAATGTGAAAAGTCTACTCAAACAGGAGACAGACCTGATGCTGTGCTATTCTGGAGTTTTGGTGTTTTTCTTTTTTACTTGGAAGATGAGAACTCAAGAAAAATTGTGCTGTGTGTAGTCTTGCTTATTCTACTTGCTCTGCTCTTTTGGGAAATAGGAGGGTGCTTTGGGCTGTTTGACTTGAGGTTTGTAGTATGTTTGAAAGCATCAGTAGCTTTCCAGACCTGCTGAGTTTTCCAGCTGCAGTAAGTAATCAGGGTTTTAATGTTTCAGAAGGCACCAGCGAGGTCCTGGTGAATAGGTTTCTCATTTTTGGCATTTAATCGATGCATGGGTTTTGTTTTCTTGAAGTTCATGTTTGAGAGTTTATACGACATTAGTGAGTGTATATATATGCATTGCCAATATTGTTTTCAAATATTACTAAATATTTTATTGAAGCTATAGCTGCAATAACTAGTGGAGTTGTTAACCTGTGGCTACTGATGGTGGATGCAAGAATGGTTCTGGAGTGGATCACAAAAAGCTGTAAAGTACTTACGGGTGTTTGCTTTCCTCAAGCTATTGTCATGCTGCGGTGGTGGGAAAGCTGATGGGCTTTCAGAGTCTTGCTAAGCACACAGGTGCATGAGATCCAGTGGATGTAATACACATGGGTTTTCAGAAAATGGTTGATAAAGTCTTCCATTGAGTTTTTGAAGGAATGAAATTGTGAGACTGGAGGAAAAATTCTTTGATGGATAGGAAGTTGCTTAAAGAATATGAAGCAAAGGGCTTAATTGGTGACTTGTCAGGATCGAGGAGAGTTGGCAGTGGGATCCCCCAAGAGCTGCTTGTGGTACCAGCTTTGGTAGGCATCTCCAGTCATCTGGCGAGGGGATTTAACAGCAGACACTCTTATTTTGTGAGTGCTATTACACTCTTATGTAGTTCAATGCCGTGCTGATAGCAAGGAGCTGAGCAGGCAAAAAAGCTGCCAGATGAGCTTGGAGGTAGGTAAATGCAAGTAATGCGTGTAAGAAAAGGTAATCCATATATGATGCCTACATGGAACTACTAGTTGTGGGTTGAGCATCAGTTCATGAATATCTGCTGTTGTTGCTTTTGGTTCTCTGAAATCCTCAGCTCCGGGTGCTGTGACAGCCCAAAACACAGCCAGGATGCCAGGTATCGTCAGATCTGTTGAGACCAGGATGGGGACAGGTGGCTAGATGGTTAAAGGGATGGAGCAGCTGCCTGGTGAGGTGGGGGCTGACAAGGCTGGGACTCCTCAGTTGAGAGCATAAAGCTAAGGGGGTATATGATCAAGGTTTACACAGCCGTGGAGGTATTGATAAACTAAATGCAGCGATGGGGAGGACGCACTGGGACTAGTAAAGTGTCAGCTTAAAACAGGTGAGAGAGAGAGAGGAGCTTCTTTACATAGCAGAGGTTGAATACCTGATGTCTACCCCCAAGGAAGCTGTGGAGGAAGACAGGACCATGGGCGCAGAAAGGGATTAGACAGCTTCATCTGCAGCCATGAAAGGGAGAAGGGGAGGGGATGCATCTCCCTAGTGAAACCCTTATGGGTGCTCTGGGAATGTGGGAGGATCTGGGTTGCAGGCTAGCTCTCTAAAAAGTGTCTGGGATTGCGACTGCTGGGAGCTGTGTTCTGCACTAGATGGGCCATTGATCTGACTTAATGGGTTTCTTATTGTGCAAAGTGATGATTTCCTTCATTCAGAGTATTTGTTCTCCGGTGGAGTCTCATTTAATGAGCTGATGCAGTAGAGTAACTGCTGAGTACATGGCCTCTTCTGTCAAGAACTGATGCTTTCTTGTTTATAGGCTTCTTAGTCTTGATTAGCATGTTCAATTCCAGTACTAACTCCTTTATTAGGAAAAACAGAAAGGTGGGAGACAATTATCAGAAAAATGATGTCTCTGTTACTTCTGTCCTACACCTTTCCCCTCACTTCCTCCCACTTTTTGTTGTATCTCACTCTCTTTTCCACACTCAGCACTAAGATTGCTTCTTATCTGTAAACAACCTTTGAGCTTTCTGAGGCAGAGATGATGACCTAATACAGTTTTATACATTAAAATATTTTATTTAGTGCCCAACCCTATGGGTCTGTTATTGAAATATTTATATTTTAAAAATGTTTTCAAATATGAACTGTGACTTAAGAGTTGTAGTATGGGACTTATAGGCTCAAAGCTACATTTCTTAGATTGGAGTAGATGGCTAAAATACTGACCCCATTTCTGAATTTTCCCAACTCATCAGCCTACCTGTTTACTAACATGATTTTATGGAAGGGTCAAGTTTATTAATGCCTTTAGTATGTTTAGGTGCAGGATGCCTTAATTTTTGAGTATAATACATAACACACCAAATGGTAAGTACCTGAAATCTGTTAGTCTGTGGAGCACCTGTCTAAAAACAGTGACCTTTTTTGGCTAATTTAAATGGCTTCTCAGTCTTTTAAATCTCTTGTTTCAGGAGGTTAAGAAGGATGTAGAGCCCAAGGATGACGCCGTACCAGTCAGGAGAGAGAAATCTGGCAACGTAGCCAGCCTTGTGCAGCGTATGAGCAGCTACGGGCTTCCAGCAGGAGGATTTCAGCCTCATCCCCTGTCCAAAAGCTTCAAGAAGAGTATGTATTCTTTCCAATTCCTTCAATTGCGTAAGCTGCTGATGCGAATGTTCTTAATAAACATGAATTATTTAATGTCTGACTTTAGTTTTCTGTACAACCTTAAAACTGAGACATCAGAGGAAAAACTTTGATTCTAAGCCAAATTTTACTCCTGGATGCATGGGCAGAAAGCTTTTATGTAGTTCTTAACAGCAGCAATAGGGATGAATTTTCCTGGGAACAGGATTATTCCCCTTCCAGATCCTGGAGAGTTGCTTTGTAACTTCATGTGAGCTCTTCTTGTATTGACAAGTGCCTGAATGAGAACTGCGGGCTTGTTTATAATAATCACAAATCTTCCTGTGGTCATTTCTTCTAAACATAGAAGTTTTGCTGCAAATTTAGGGCTTTGTGACAAGGGAAGACTCTCTAGTTCAGGTTCGTCTGGTTTAGTAGGGTTGCTTCTAGTGTGAAATAAGGCAGAGTTGGTGGTGTCTAAGAAAATGTAGTGGTCATCCTGTGATTGTAACTGCAGCCCCCAGGATGGTCAGGAGTGCATACCTGGTGCCTCTGTATCTGTGGTTTCTGTCTTTTTATGCTAGTATTTAAATCAAGGTGACTACAACCTACAGCAGAAAACTTAGTGTTCCCTGCATCCAGAAAATTGACTTGTGATTTGTATTTGGACACGTCGGTCTTAGAAGAGACGCTGCTGTAAATTACCCTGGCTTCCTCTCTCTTATAAGACATTGCAGGCATTTATGATTTAATCTTGCTTTTTTAAAAGAAAGAGTTCAGAACTTACTGTTTCTGGTATGTTTATGCTTTGAGGTTTTGCCCATAAAAGAAGAGCCACTAGTTGTCTTTTAAAGCCCTGAAATGGAACGACCAGATTTACAAATTTTTGGAAACCTTCTTCTAGGCAGCTAGGGACGTTACCTTCAAAATTACTTTTTAGTGAATCTGATCTGTACATGCACATTGGCAACAGCATATATGTGCCTGTTAGACATTTGCATCAGCAGGCTTTTGAAAATCTAACCTGAAAGATTGACGCTGTTCCTAGGTTAATGCAACCAGGGTCTGAAAGGGAATCAATGTGATCCTTATGGGTCATTCCAACTCAAGATAGTCTGTGGTTCTATGAACATGATCGGATACCAGTTCAGGTGTCCGCTACTCATTCTGGTCTCTGTAACCCTGGAACCATCCCATGATGAGGACGTGTCCTCATGCTGGTGGCTGTGTGGCCATGGCCAGGGTAGTAGGTACAACTTGGTCTCAAACTCTGCAGTGCTCTGGCTAGTCTCATTCTCCTAGAAGAAAATGGTGTTCAAGCACCTTCCTTTAAGGACACAAATGTTTACTTGGCACAATAACAATCTCTGTGTTTCCATTTTACTGGCTGTTCCCTCTTTCCTGGAAGACTGTTTAAACAGCTCCTGCAGATCCTGTTTGCTGTGCGGCTGGGCAATCGCTCGCTCCCTTCAAAAGGTTTCCAATGCTTAGTCGTCTTTCCATTTCTGGTTCCTAACCTGGTAAAATGAGGTTTACAACATTAAAAACAAAGTTAAGTTTCTTTAGTAGCAGGTTTCCAGTGTGCGGTGAGGTAGGTTGTCTCTTCCTGGCAAGTCCCTTGTGGTGTTCTCATGTGCCACTCTCACTGAATTCAGGTATTTTATATAAGGTGGGTAGTAAGCTGCAGGCAGAATTCCTATCAGTTAGATGGCTGCCTTTATTCAGGAAAAGCAAAATACAGGAGGTGTGCTAAATTACAGGAAAGGCATAAATTTTCTTTACCCCGTATAAAACAAATAAAACCTGAAGCCAGACAAGTTGTTTTCGAAAGGGACAGAATTGCCTGGGGGCTGCCAGCCCAGCGGTCCTGCTGCACCACGTGAAGCTGGAGTGTTGTTTTGAGTGGATTGGTTAGCTTCCTAGGTTAATCTCAGGATTTTCAAAACTGGAAGGCAGTACTTCCTGAACTGGCTATCACTGAAAACAGACTGCAGGTGAGAGTGAGTTCTGGATGTGAAACGCATCTATGGTTTTGTTTCCCCCATTTTCATTTAGATAGAATTACAATATGAAAAGGAATGCTGCAATCAGATTTATATTAAATGGCCATGACATTTAATTTGCCATTTTTTTTTTTTTTTTTGTATCAGTTAATCTCACACAGAGGAGGAGCCCTGAAAGCGCTGTAGGAGGTAGTAAAGACCAGTGAACCGTTTATTGCAATTACTGTTAACCTAACAATCCCTCTGGCTGATGTATGAGTTTCAGTGGAGTTAAAAGAAGGGTGTGTTATGTGGGTAATTACGTGTTATTCGAAATAACCTATAGAGCTTCATACTTCTGGTTTATTTGTTTTCTGCCCCTTTTAAGCTTTTTACAGCCCAGACTATATACCAGCATGTAGAAAATTCTTGATTTGGTGAGTCCTCTCTCAGAAATTTTAGATGCTGAATATTTCCTGCCATGTTCTGTACTGAGGACACTGGGTGTGGTGGTCTTTTAAAGGTCAGACTTTGGACTTTCAACGCTGCTATTATAAGACAAGGATCAATCTTGGAGGCAGTATCTCTGTTTTTTGAAATGTTTTTACCTAGCTAATCTTAACTGCTGAAGCTTGAGTATGGAAGGAGTGCAAAGTATAAGAGAGAATATGGAAATTATATAGCTTCTATGAGCATAAGCTTTACCACTTCAAGCTTTTGATTCATATTGTCACTTAAACTGTGGCAGATGGGTTTTGAGGAGGATAGGGATTGTGTGTGGGTCATAGCTCAGGATGACAATTGCCTTCAAAAGCAGTGCTGGCTGTCTGTTATGGAAAATATCTGAAGGCATGGCCTCTTGTTTGAAGGAGAAATGCCTAAACTCTCCCAGCAGTAGCATCACTCCGGGATATGTGCAGAGTAATTGTGCAATCGTAGGTTCACACCGCTCTGGCTGGAGGAGTTGTTAGAAGCCGCTTCAATGCTCTCCCCTCTCGGCATGTCATTTTGTCTTTTTAATGCCTGCAAAGCTTTAATAATACATGGCAAACACCTGAAGATTGCACTTTTCTTTTAATTTTGCCTTTTGTCAAACACTGCTAATTGAAGTTTAGATTGAATTTCTCGACTCCATACTGGCACTGAGAAAAGGGAAGGATTTTTGCTTTCACAGACAAAAATGAGTTTGGATTTTGAAATATGAGCCGAGGAAATGTTAGCATTACCTCAGACCTGTAGCTAGCAAGGTCTTTTTGTTAGAGGGCAGAAAGGCTATCAGCACTTCAGTGTTGTGCAGAACAAAATATTTGTTATTTCTTTCAGGATTCCCTAAAGACTGGAGGCTCAAACATGCAAATTTTCTTCCAAGCAAGCGCTAGCACTTCAGCTGGCAGCGGTTGTCATTTTTGCAGATTTTAGTCAGGAAATAGCTTGAAAATCATTGTACTTGCTTGTACATCTGACTTGCTTGTGTCAACATGTTTTTTATAGCATGTTGGTAATTGGCAGTATAGTGTTTATTTGTTTGCAGTTGGCAGTCTGTGAAGCTCGATGGTTTTCAAGCTCGAAGACAGACCTCGCTAGCCTAAAGTGACACAAGCAAACGAGAAAACCAGCAGCAAATGCTCTGTAGCTTTTTGAGATGATTTATGGGTGTTCTGGTCAGGTTTGGTCCTCAGGAGCCGAGTGGAGGAAAAACCAGTTTTCCTTTGCAAACGTTCTTACTTTTACCATTTCCCTTGACTCAGAGTCCAAGAAGCGGCAGTGCAAAGTGCTCTTTGAATACATCCCGCAGAACGAGGATGAGCTGGAACTCAAGCTGGGGGATGTGATCGACATCAATGAAGAGGTAAGCTGTTTTACAGAGCTGATTTGTGTCTTCATGGGGCCAAAATTCAAATTTTTTTTTTTTTTTTGACTCAATACTTGAATTACAAGGATGTTGGAAAAACAGCATAGGAAGTATATTTGACGCTAAAGCTAATAGTTTAGGAGTTCTTTCTCTTAGGATCTACTCCTAACGCTTTAGATGTGTAGGGGAAGTATTTGATCATTGCAGCAATAAACTGTGACCTGTTTGTTACACAGATTCCTTCTTCGCAAGACTTTAACTTCTTTGGCCCTGTGATCCTTGTTTTTAGGATGCTTACGCTAAAACTGTTTGACCAGTTGCCTTTAAATTGACATACTCTAACTAGGTTTAGGTGAAAATGTTATTTGATTTGATTTCATGCTTTCTTGCAAACTCATTGAAGCTTTTGAACTAACAGTAACAGTATTCAGCACAGAAGCCTGTACCTGTAGGACGATGTGCTTCAATCCTCTTGCACAAAAATATGGAGCATACAATTGCACTCAAAAACATGTTATTATTTCTATTGCCTTCCTTTTCCACTGGGTAAGAAATACAGTTGAAGATGTGTCTTGATGTTCAGACTTTGGTAATGGCCCTATATGGTTGGGGTGGGGGCTTCTTACGTTTTCCTACGTGCTTCCTTGGTATCTGTTCCATTCAATAGTAACTTGTGTTATGTAAGGCCTGAGTATGTGGGAAGAATGTCTTGTAGGAGAGTGAAATCTTTCAGAGAACCTGTGGAAAAGACCAGATTGTGGAAGGAATCCTTTCAGAACTAGGTGGAAAATTTCTGCACAACATTCTCTGACTAGTGCCATGTCTTCGTACTACCTCCCTGAGCATCTGAGGAAGGAGAAGACTGAACTTTTCTTCCTGGTCATGTGTCTGGGGGTGCTTTTTAAGTAGCTTTATGAGATTGTGTTTTTCACATGCGTGATCTCTTTTGAAGAGAGTGCTAACTCTTCAGGATCCCGACAGTTGCCAGGAAGGACTTTTTCCGTTCTCCTAGCAAGGAAAAAGTTATGCTTTTATATGCATTTGCACTAATGACTTCTACAATTTGTTCTCTTTGAATAAACAGAGCAAGTGACTTGTAAAACCTGCTCACTAAAATCACAATTTCATAAATACCATTGTGCGGGTGTTTTGTAAAGGAGCACTCCTGGATAACCTCACCAGTTTAATTCGTGGATGGTGCCTGCACACAGCAGTCACGACTTTGAATAGTCCAACGTAAGCATTTACAAGAGGTATTATGCGCAGTAAAGTGTTTGCGGAAGCTGCCGTTTTGGGTTGCGTATGTCAACATCTGGAATTATTTTGGGAGGGGTGTTCAATATGATTATCAGAGATGACCAGGTAGCCAAACAAAATAAAAAGATCAAAGCATTTCCTCATCTGGTTTCTTAAGGAAACGTGGATTTTATTTTAGTAGTTTAAATTTTTTTTGGTCAGTTCCCATGCTGCTTCCTTTTCTAATGATTTGAAAATACATATTTGTAGTACCCAGCCTTTGTTACTTCTGAGAAAAACTTAATCGAATTTTTAGGCAAGTGCTACTAGGTAGAAAAATATTGCAGCTAACGACTAGCACAGAGCCATACACAGACTGTTTTTATGATGGTCTAGAATAGACCTGACAGGTGTAGGCTACGTCTGCTTCACAAAACTGGTGGACCAGAAATGTGAAGAATGGTGGAAAATACCAACCATTGGTTGTAAGTATGCTGGGATAACTTGTCTTCACTACCATGAGATGATCTTAGCTTCCATCTATATATAAAAGGTGCTATTTATATATATGCAGATAACTCATTACTGTTACTTCAATGAAAGGTCATTTGGTCAGGTTTTTTTCATGGGGAAAATAAGGTAAAATTAGCTCCGCAAGGGGATCGGTTCTACCAGTTGCCTGAGAATAATTCAGTATTTAGCCCTTGCAATTGTTTTCATAAATTAAGTAGTTACAACTGACACTACTGATCATGAAATCAAAGGTGGAGGCAGATGGGTTCAGAAATTAAATGGCTGATATTGAAGAGAGCAGGTGATAAGGTTCAGAAGTAGCTTTTATGGAAGAAGGCCCTTGTGCTGCACGTGATAACTGTATCATTGCTGTAAAACTTTTTTTCTTCCCCCCGTTCCTGTCAGATGCAGCACTAAGTAGCAGATTTATTTTTGTAGTGTTATATTTGTAGTATTTGCATGCTGTGTTATCAAGCATAATCGAAATTCACATGACTCAATTAGTGGAGTTGTTATTTAAAAAACAGACAAACAAAAACAGGATTTGCAAAACTGCTTGTTTCAACCTTCCCCCCCCCCCCTACTTTGTTTAGAAGTCTGAGTTTTTATCATCTTGTAGAAATAAGTTGATGAACTTCACACTCAGAAAAAGTACTGATGTTTGTACCAGAGCTGTAACTCCCTCTTGTGGAAACTGTATCATGTGGTAAGATTTTTAAAAGGAAGGTAAGAGTTGCGAAATTGTCATCTGTGTTGCTAGCGTGCAGAGATGCACAGATGCTCTTCACCAACGCATGTAGAACTTGTTAACCTGTTTTTTAATGTTGATTAAAGATACCTTTTTCTAGTAATATAGTTTGTATATAGTCAGGTTTTTTAAAGACAGTGTGGTGAGGAGGCTGAAGCAAGTACACTCAAGAAATTATTCCTGACTGTCTGTGAACTGGCATCGCTTTTCCTTGCAAGTCTGTGAAGTGCTTTGCTGACTTTATTTCTTGGCAGAAGAATACATGGATGCTTGAGTTGCTTTCTGTATTGTAAGCATTAAAAGTCCCTTTCTCATGGCTCTAGGGTGTAGTATGGGTGAGTCAAGGCATTTGAATTTTAGTTTTCTGTAATGTATTATGTAAAGCACGAGGCGCCCGAGCCTGGTCAGCACTTGTCAGTAACCTATGCTTAAAATTAGTTTCAGAGGACCAGACTCTGAATTTGAACCATCCACAGCCAAGCTATATTTGAGCACCAGGATGTCTTTAAAAGTAACAGTATTCTTTTCATTGCCTGTCTGTCTCTGTAGCTGCCAGGTTTTTGCATGCGTTCTGCTTGCCTGGAGGTAGGCTGGCTTTTAAAAACTATGCATGTGTGTCAGGCGTAGTGACCTACAAAACAAGGCTAAAAAAAGATAATGTAAACAACTGCTGGGTTTTTTTTTTTCTTCCCTGTTGCTTTTCTTTCTTATCTTAAAGCTTTCCAGCCCCAAACCAGACCAACTGAAATGAAATATTTTGAAAATGTATCTTAATTATAGTTTTTAAATAGTACTCATTAGGCAAACGCATTCAATTTATTTTTTAAAACTTTTTGAAAACTCTTCTTAAATTTGAAGACCAAAATTCTTACTCAGTCTTCTGTCATTGTTTTACACCGTCACCTGTCCATGTCCAGCTTTTGCTTGTTGTGCTTTGGACTGTGGGGTATTTCCGAGTAACGTTTCATCAAATTTTGGAGTATTGCAGTGTAAATGACACAGCAGCAAGCACATAACTGAGCATTAGAGTTGTCATGTTCCCTAATTCCTGAACAGGTTTATTTCCAGTGCAAAAATGAGTTATTCTGTGAATAGCAAAGTCAACAAAATTTGGCATCCAACAGATTTCTATCCTTAGGACTGCTGTGCGCCACTACAAAATCCTCATGCGTCTCGGCTGGCCAGCTCAGATGGGGAAGTATCTGTACCTTCTGGCACACCTAGAGCTAGGGGTGTGCTGCTCAGCCAGTTGTCTCCTGCTGGAGGGAATGGATAGCTTAGTTTTCCATTACTCTGTGATGTCCTTAAGGACTTTTTTGTGTTCTACCCAGCATCATTATAAATTATATATTTGAAACTTGTGTCTCTTGATCAAAATTGGTTGAAGCTGTTCCCGCGAGGCTGGTGGGAACAGGACTGGTGGAAACTGGACAAGACAGAGGAAAAGACAGGTGGACAGCAGGACGACGTAAAAATTTCCTTAGAAAGTTGCATCTTTATTTCATAAACAGTTTAGTATTTTCTTCTTGCTAGATATGTAATGCCTGTTACTCTGTCTTACCTCGAGAAAGTTGATGAACGTTTTCCTTTTCTTCTGGATTAATTGGCATAGGGCTAGTCTCATGTTTCAGGATCGTTTCTGTAATGGTAGAAGTGACAGTAAATGATTTTTTTGGTCGTCTTTTTGCCTACAGTTTCTACATCTTTGGTTGGTTCCTTTAAAGAGGAATTATGGTAATTTGAACTTTCCCAAAGTTGTTTGTAGAGTTTAAGTGAACTATGGATGGAATTGATAGGAATTTCCTTTTGCTTTATTGGTAATGTGCAAAATATTTCCATACAGGTAGAAGAAGGCTGGTGGAGTGGAACACTAAATGGCAAGGCAGGGTTGTTTCCTTCAAACTTTGTGAAAGAATTGGAAGTGACGGATGATGGAGAAACACAGGACACTCTGGATGACACAGGTGGTATTCTGTTTGTTGCAAACCCTTAGCAAAGTCATTTTAGATCTTGGGTATGATTTGGACTATTATGGTTGTAATACAACAAAAGTTGTAAAGAACTCAAGCTTCCTAAGAATAGTAAGTATTTAATTTCGTTTTAGAAAGTATTGATGCTGAGGATGAAGATACCGGTCTTGCTTCCAGTGTACTCCTAATAAAATTGCAGTCAAGGCCTTGATCTTGCAAATGTATATTCTGCATTTTATCACTAGAAATGTTATCATATTCAGAGTTGAGCTTTTTTTTTGGTATTGAATATAAAATTATTCTTCTGTTTAATAGCTTTTTTCAGTCTTATTCTCACAGACATGAGTTCTCTAACATGGAAAACTTAAGTGTTTAACCATGTCAGTCAAGAATTAAAACTTAAATCAAAACAGTATCGAGAGCTTCAACTTAAAATAAATCTTACGAAGGGGGTCCTGGTTTTTATTACATTTTAATCTAACAATAAAATGGTTTTAAGGTAGTATTTACATTTAGCCATTCCTTTCTTGCTATGATTATATAGCTCGGGCAGAAGCGGATGGTCTGTGGCTAAATAGTAGTTGAGTGCTTAGTGGTGCCAGGCAAGTGTGTGCTTTACAGGCAATTACTTTGTTCCCTTGAAACTGCACTTTAAAGGCATTTTGTAGATGAAGACCTGTTTGAAGGTTGAGGACTTGTGATATGATACTGCTGGAATGGGAGTGTTCTTTGGGAATAACATCTTAATGCGAGTTGATTGATGCTTAAAGACAGCTGTGTAATGTTCAAGGAAAAAAGTGATTTTTTTTTTTTTAATTTTTTATTTTCTTGTAGTAATGGGCCCCCTCATTTACAAGATATTCAGTATTGATTGTCCCTAACAAGGGTTTGCTTAGAGATATGAAAGAAAAGTCTGGCTTGGATTTGTTTGGTAAATTACGGAAATAATTGCAATAGTGTAAAATAAGAGTTGGTTGATTTGGGTAGTCCCAAATAGCTCAGTGTCTGTCTCCTTGGAGGTCAAGTTCCCTGAGTTTAGTTGGGTCTGGTGAGATGAATTTACTAATGGGTATTTGTTGGTCTTAATTGCTGAATACTGAGATCAGTGGGACTGAACAGTAATTTGAAGTAATTGTAATTTTTGTCAGTAACTGGCAAGTTATGATTTTCAGTCCCTCACACCCCCAGGGGTTATGTTATATTATATTTAATGCTCAGTACTTTCACAGTCAGGATCTCAAGTATCTGCTAATTCTTTCCTCACTCCTGGGAACCAGTAAATGCCCCGTTTGCTGAGCTATGGTCTTTCAAACATGCAACCTGGACTCTTCTCATCAGTGAAATTTCCAGCTATCCCTTTAGATATCTAAGAGGGATATAACTAAGTGAAGAGTAACTCAGTTGAGGAATGATGAGAAACTGAGGTCAAGAGGCTATGTAACTTTGTGGGATTATCGAAACCCCTTAAATTTATGGTTGAGGGAAGAGGCTTTAATCTTTATTGCCATTCCCAGGCATGCATACACTGGGAAAAACTTAACTGAAAGGGTGTTTTGAATTTGGTTTATAAAAGCTGTCTATTTTCACATGGCTATCTCCTGGAATTCTGCATGTGAAAATACTTTGCCTGTGAATACTAGTTTGTAGGTTTTAACAGATTCGACTGTAACTTAAAAATGAAAAAACCCCACCCAAAAAACAACCAAACAAACCAAAACCTCAAAAAAACCCCAAACAAAAAAAAAGTTTTAAAAGCTTCTAACACCTAAATTAAGTTCTTCTCTGAACTACATTTTTTGGGGGTGGATAAATGTTGTCCCTTAAAACTGAAAGATTAAAAGAATCTAAATAATTGTTATCTAGCAGTGATTAATCTGAAACAACTGTGATTAAGTGTTTAACTCATTTAAAATAGATGTTAATTGTTACCAGGTTAAAAAACTACTTACATTTGTGAAAAAGTCTGTTTGGTTATTTTTGATAGTGCATTTCAAGCAATTGGAAAAATTCGCTTTGCTGCCTTGAGAGGCATCACTCTACTACTAAACACACTGTTTTTTCCTGTGGCTGTTGAAACATGGTAGGACTCATTATGGACCTTTATTGATTATCACTTTCAGAAGCTATAGCTGTGCAAAGGACAAGCTTTTAAATGTTGGACTAAAACCACGTCTTCAGAAAATGCCTAAGCAATGTTTCATAAAACTAATGGAAAACATAATATGAACATTAACAGACTGTGGAGCCTGAGTGATAACTGAAATAGCAAGAAATATTAGTGATCTCATGACTTAGTTGCCAGAGTATTCAATGCAATACTGGTGTCATTTGAAATAGTCTTTCGTTAAATAGACAACTAGAACAAATGTGAGGTATTACAGCTATAATAATGTTCCTAGAAAAGCACTTTAACAAGAGCAGGGCACACAGCTATGTTATTTCCACTTTTTTTCCCAGAAGAGCAAGTAAATAATTTCAGCTATTAAAACAACTTGTTCGTTTGTTTCTTTTTTTTTTTTTTTTAACTTTCAGAATCTGTTTTCAGTGGTCCTACCTCACCTGTGGTCTCTCCAGGAAATGGGAGTGAACCTGGATCTGGACCGGCACAGCCAAAGAAAATCCGAGGTATTGGGTTTGGAGATATCTTTAAAGAAGGCTCAGTGAAACTTAAGACAAGATTATCCAGTAGTGAATCAGAAGATAAAAAGCAAGATAAGGTTTGTAGCAGTTCATATTGTTATTTTTGGGTTTCCTGTAAAAATAATTTAAGACTTGAATCTGAAGATGTAATATCTTACAGATGCTGAATATACTGGCCATTTAAAAAAGTGTCAATATTGTTCCATCATCAGACCATAATCATCTCATAGGGCTCTTGCCTATAAAACAAAACAAACCCCCTCAAACTTCTTTCATGGGAAGTTATATTTAACATTGATTCCAAAAGGCCTATTCAGATGTTTTGGTGGTTAAAACATTAGAGAGGGAAAACCAAGCTGATATAAAAGTTGTCTTTTCAAAGCCACGTGGTGTAAGACACGATAACTTCCTAAACGTATCTCCAGTACAAGGTCTCTCCTAGTTCTCTTTGTAACAGACTTTGTACACAATCTGGGACAAGGCTGTTAAGTCTTGCTGTACAAGTTAAACTTGGCCTTTAAAACAAGGAATACTTTGGGGTTTCTTTAGTTTTTGATTTAGGTTTTCTTCCCAGTTTTAGTGGATGATGAGATTGCTGTTCTAGGTGTCAGCTGTCCTTACCAACATAAACATCTTTCGGTGAATGCTGAAGCTTTTGGCTTTGGTGATGTCTCAGGTTAATGAGCTACATAAACTGCTGGTTCTGTAAGCCTGAAAAATACTGTTCTACAGTTTTGCATCCTCTCTGACTTTCTCTCCCCCCTTTTTTTATGAGTGGGAAAAAGAACAGTTTATTCTCCATATTGAACTTTAGGAGAAAGCAGATAATGTGATGATAGCAAAATTGCTTTAGTGTGAGTTTTATTTTAATCTGAACCCAAGACTGCTCTTATCCCTTGGAAGCACAACAGTGGTGCTCAGTCCTTTATCTTGAAACTTACGCATCATTTATACCGAGAGCTCATGTATGGATTTTCAGCTTTTAATGAATTAAAGGCAGCCAAGATAATCCAGTGTTTCAGTTTTTACTCAGGTCATCAGTTCAAGAAAGCTTTGAAAACCTTTGTCCAAATTCAATTTTTTCTCTGTAGTTTGTGGTCATTAATGCTGTTTTGCTGACTGATTTGCTTTCCTCTGCTGCTACAGAAATAATTGTAATGGTATAGGGCAAAAAGTGGGGTGAGTCCCTGGGAAGAGGGTAGGGACAGAGACTTCCTAGGATGTGTTTTCCCTCTGTAGTAGTGCTCAGAGCAGTGCTTGTTCACCTGTAGATATGGTGTGTGTCCTCTCTCTTTCTGGTCCAGTCAAAACATCAGATGATTCAGAAAATGAAAATTACAAGAGTGTCACCTTCTGTTTAAGGCTCTGGGAATGTTATCTCCTAAGGAAGATGATGTTCAGCTTGGAGAAGAGAAGACTCTGGGGAGACCTTATAGTGTCCTTTCAGTATATAAAGGGAGCTTATAAGAAAGACGGAGAGAGGCTTTTACTGAGGTTTGTAGTGACAGGACCAAGGGCAATCCTCTTAAACTGAAAGAAGGTAAACTTAGAATGGACAGAAGGAAGAAATTCTTCACTGTGAGGGTGGTGAGGCACTGGCACAGGTTGCCCAGAGAGGTTGTAGACGCCCCTGGATCCCTGGAAGTGTTCAAGGCCAGGTTGGATGGGGCTTTGGGCACCCTGGTCTAGTGGAGGGTGTCCCTGCCCATGGCAGGGGGTTGGAACTGGATGGGCTTTAAGGTCCCTTCCAACCCAAACCATTCTGTGATTCTATGAAGCACATTGATTTTTTTTCCTTGGTTCTTTCCAGGCTTTGTCCCTTGTAGCAGGAGTTGATGGGATCACTACATCTTTGTGTGAATGTTGTTAAACTATCAATTTACTTTCTTGTCGTGAGATTGATTGTTCAAAAGTGTGTTCCCCTACTTTCTATGTTGTAAATTGGGAGTACAAAAAGCCTATCCAAAATATGTTCAATTAATGTGAAGTCTACTCAGACATTTTGAATTGTGTTATTTGACAGTGTATAAACACTAAAATATGTTGGCACTCTGTTTTGTTGGTTTGTCTGGAAAGTTGTAGGCTGTTTCTCAAGAAGAGAGGAAATGAAGTGAGAAAACAATTTTGCATAGCTTAAAGGCAATGAAGTAAACAGTTGAGTGTAGCACTTAATATTCCATTTACACTTGTTGCCAAAGTCATCCCAAAGGCAGACAGACTTACAGAACAACCTGGAGAGCCCTAGGGAGATAATTCTCATGAAGGTCTTGCGAAAATGGACGGCTTTGGATTTGTGTGCAACTTGCTTTGGAGTTAGATGGAGGGATGCTGGAAGGGCATTCTCAATCTTTAAGCCGATAAAGAAAAAAGCTGTTATCAGGAAACTCTAGAGCAGAGAATGCTTTTTTTCCCCCTTGGGAAATTTGGAGACTGTTCAGCCCAGGAAGGCTGAGCACTGATATATCTGAAGTGCTCCGTAGTATATATGCTCCTACAGGAGATAGGTAGGTTTCAGCTCGTCCCAGCATCCTGCCTGGGCTCAGTCTATTTATACTCCGTCTGCCTAAACTTCCTCTCGCACTTCTAATAGCACCTTGGTTTGGAAGGGGGAAATGTAGAGGTCTATTTCCACATTGGACTTGTTTAATCTCATAGGTGGGTTATTTTAGTGCTTCCTTCATATAGCATTCTGGAGTGAGTTAAATTGCGTATGTACTCCAAGAACATCCCCAGTGACCGTGGCTTCCTCTACGGTATGTCAGAGGTGCCAGACACCAGCCCACAGGCATCATCTGTTTTTACGGAGAGTAAACCTAGTTTCTCTGATAGTAGAAAGTCTGTGACGTTTAATTGCAAATGAGAATGAACAGAGTAACTAAAGGCAATGGGATTTTTCATGTCAGTAACGCTATTAGGGCTGCTCAGGTAAGTACTGACTGTAAGATCGTATTCTATGTTTGTAGCTCATAGGGCTGTGAAGAAGTGGCTGCAGCTGAAGCTGTCTGAATCTTCCTGGCAGCTCAGTGAGTCTCCTGGGGGAAAAAAATATAATATTGGAACGATTATTTTGGTTAAATGTTAACTCTGAAACTTGTTACTGGTTGCAATGCCTTTGTGGTCTTTTGGTTCAGGAGAAATCTCTAGTGACGTTTATCTGTTCTGGTTCTGTTCTGTATGAATCGCTAAGAGTGAAGGGAAGCTGGGACAGGCTTTCATGTGTTCATATGTCTGTCCGAGTAGTTAAAAACTGATTGCTGCTTCTGCTGAGGTGGTGTATGGGTACTGAATATTCCTGCTTTATTCCAGTGCAAAGTAAGTGTGGTCAGTGACTTATTTTCAGCAGAGCTCTTAAAACAACCATTTCTGTTCTGCACTGGAGGAGGCAATGTTCAGGTTAACGGCACAGTAACGCTTGGAATTGCTGAAATATGATTGCAAAAGTATATCTTGCAATGTCCTGAGATTGGCTTCTGGTTTGAAAGCTGTGCTGTTTCTTTAATCGGGAGACAAAATACTTACTGCAGTGACTCTAATGAAGTAACTACTGTAAGTTAAGGACATAATGGGAAAGCTCACTGAATCTCTTGGAGGTGGTTGTTCACGTAATCTCAGTTAGTGAAAACTTGAGTATGTCCTGTAGCCTAATCAAAAGTAAAACTCATAGTGAATTTTTGTTAACAAAGTTCTCTTTCGTTCATATAGCCATCACCTAACCATCCTTCTGGAACAAAGCTAATTCATTTTCCCAGTACAACAAAAACTGAAAATGTGTTGGAAGTAATAAAATCAGAAGCTGAAAGTAAATCGAAAGGTAAGGCCAATGGAAATTTACATCCATTATTTGGTAGTCCTCTCTACAGAAGTATTTGGTTGTCAATTTTTTTTTTGTTAAAATCTTGAATTTTTGCGTATACTGTGTTTTTTGTGTAATATTCTGTACCTTTGAGGAGTTACGCAAACGCAAAAGAGTCTGAAGGAGTTGTTGCATTTCTGTGGAAAAAGAAACTAAAACACTTGTACGGTAGTCTCCCAGAACAAAACAGGCTAGGGTGTGAAGTTTTATTGCAGCAGCCCCATTGCATTAATTTGCTACGCTGACATGCTCAAACTGACTGACTTTTTTTGCCTAGCTTTTAGTGCTCAGCTGGAATGCTGGAAATCTATTGCTGTGGAACAGCCCCCTAACTCAGTTTCTGTCCCTAGGCTATAGAAGTGACTCTCCAGGCTCAGGATTTACTGTGGAGTTGGTAATGTGTTGTCGTAACTGTATGTGAAGTTTTGTGCATCAGAAAGTTGGTGCTTATGTTTTGTTGAAGTCTGTTCCTTAGATAATCCAGTTCCACTGTGGTTCTGTTTATAACAACTTCTTTTTTCTTTATTATCTCTAAGAATTTATGACTTCATTTAACTACCAAATTGCATAGTTTTATCTAGAGAGATATTTTTAAGTCTACCCAAAACATCTTGTGGGAGTGCCAACCCCATATTAAAAATTAACTTAAATTGTGATGTGTAGACAGCTCGTTTTGCCTGGTTCCAGAGCAGATTTTTTTTTTTTACTTACATATTGTAATTTCAAGTATATTTATGTTTTATGAGGAAATACCTTATTTTGGTGTAAGTGGTTGTTTTACATGGAATGCATTATTTGCAGAAATAAATAAAAACTACAACAAACAACTGAGTTTTTGCCTGTGTTCAGGAATTGTGTAATGTAGCACAATAGGGCACTTGAAATGGCAGGTTTGTTAGAGCCCTAGTTTATCTGTATCTATAGCAGTATGTAGGGCATCCATGCCATTTTAGCCGTATTTTGGCTTTGTTAAATTGGATAGTTATAAGTAGCGTGACCGTGATTACAAGTACAGCTGATGACTGTCAAGAAGTGTTTGATGCAATAGCTTGAGAGTAGTAAATACTTCAGTTTTGCCATTGCAAAGCATGTATCCAAAGTCTGTGTGCGATGCATTGGAATGGAAGTTGATGCTTACTTGCAACTTTTAAATCTCTACTAAACATCAAAATTGAGGTAGTCGTGGGCTCTTGCTTTTAAACCATTCCGGTGCTATCGCTGTGAGAGCCAACAGGGCAGTGGGCAATCATGGTGAAATTTGACTTGTCTAAAACTTTGCATAAAAATTGACCCAAGTCTGCCTAAAAAATCTGAACATTCAGTACTGGACTCTCAGAACATTCAGTATTTAGCTCTTTTCATAATTTCAGGTGCATCTTATGCTAAAAGCATAGAAATTGGACTAATCCAGTAGCAAGGCTGAGTCTCTGCTACCCAGAGAAACGAATAGATCAGAGAGGCACTTAAATATGATAGTAATAGGTGCTGTAGGAGAACATCAGTAGATAATACCTATAGGTATCATTTAAGAACATCTTTGGATGAAAGCTTGGTTTTCTTCCTTAGTATTTTTATTCTAATATAGACCATATTATAGTTTATATATATCATCCTCAGTTTTGAGAGAGCAACCTTAAAATAAACTGTGTTCAATATGTTAGCAAATAAACAGGGATCTCTAAAATGTTTAGACTAGTGTGGCTTATTTTGTGGTGTGGCTCTGCTATTTCTGGGAAACTTGTTTTGGCTTCTGATGCAAGTATGTAAAAATATTTTGTTTAAAAAATAAAATAATCACAATTTGGCCCCTCTTTCCCCCCATTCTGTTAGAATAGAACATCTGTGATTCCTGCTACTGTATTCTTAGTCCCGAGTCTTTGGAAACAATTCAATTTTAAACTACCTCTTATTAAAAATATTTACTGAGGTTCAGATTTCCTGTTTTGTAAATACTATCTTAGATTTAAATGCTGGAAAGTTAAACCAGATGACTCCTTCATCTTAACTACTGGCAGAATATCAAGCTCACAAAACGAGATGCTGAAGTGGCAAATAGTACGTACTCGTGATGTCTGTGGCTGGGTTTCTGGGGTGCTGACTGCTGGGGTTGGCAACCTGGCACGTACGGGGAGCTTGGCAGCTCCCTGTCTCCAGCCTTCCTGGCACCTGGAGCAGAGCGAAAGGTCCCCTCTCTGGCGTGGTTTTCTGTCTCTTCTGGGACTTGGTACGTGTGACGAGGGGAGAAGTGCTTGGAGAAGAGAAGGGAGGGATTGTATAGTTCAGTTGTACCAGCCAAATCCCCAGGCAGTAAGAAAATGCATGTATTTTTACAGAATTGGGATGTACAGAAATGTATTACACTTGTTTTACACTCATTCATTGCTAATAAATAAAAGCCCTAGATTTGATAGATATTTGTAGTGTACCTGTTGAATTTTTTTTGTCAGTGTAGTGGGTTGACCCTGGCTGAGG